TGCCCCGTTTTACACGGACGACCTCGGAAGGCATGAATGGATGGGCGTGCCGGCGAGCCCGCCGCGCGCCCGGGTGACAAGTGCCGCCAAAGTGTTGAGCCGCCTGAAAGCGAGGGGGGCGAGCCGGGAGGAGGGGTCGTGGAGACATCTCTCTATAGTCCTGTTAGCTGCAAGTTATTGGACAATCATTTGTCAATCTTTTTATTTTGCACCCAAAAATACTGAGTTAGTTGAATCAGGTACATTACTTGATCCAAGATGTTTCAAATACATGCGCCTTGATCTAAGTCTTGTTTTCTTTTATAAAATCAAGGGTCAAACGCAATGTACTTATTCCACGAACTCGGGTTTTGGGATGCGTCTCTTTCATCAATAACGCATGAACATTATAGTAGCAGCACTGCACAGATAATTTGAACGGTGAGATTTATTCGAAATTATGGTTATTCAAAACGAGCATCGCATCGTGCTTTCGCACATCTACCACCTGCTGTTCTCTCCCTCGCCACCATCAACAGCAATTATTGCTGTACTCTTGGCGTTTTCATTACGTGCAGTAGCGTAGCAGGTCGGTCGGAGGCGGTGCGCGGAAGAACTGAATGTGTGTGCCGAACAAACACGCGGCCGGGATAATTAGTGGCGCGCTCTGTTATGATTGCGCGGAGAACTCCCAAACTAGCAACTCTGTGGCGCGTGGGGGTCGCGTCGTGCCGGCGCATCGGAACTAGCGGCAGCCAGGCGGCGCGTGGTGACCCCGTGACCCCCCGCACGCCACACAAAGGTAACTGGCTGAGAGCGGCTGTGTCCGACTCTCCCACCGCCCAGCCTTTCTCTTGCTCTCTCTCTCGCCTGCAGAGCCTCTCCTTCTCTTGCGCCTTCGTCTCTCAAATTGGCTGGGGTTAGGTTCATTAGGTCCTCTTGATGTTGGGACTACACTTCCCTCACCCGCACCACCTCTAGCCGCCCCCGCCGCCCCCGCCGCCCCGACCGCCTGCTAGACTGCCATGATTATGTTAGCTTTCTGCCGCCGGGGTTGTGGCTTGGCAGTCCCGGCCCGGGTGCAGGAAGGAGGTGCGTTGCGTTTTCTCCTGCTGCCTCCTGGACTACCATAGCGCCCCCCCCCCCCCCCAGCAGCCGCGGCACCGCCATCCTATCGGCAGCAGGGTAGTGGGTCTATTCGCACGTCCAACCGAACGGGCCACTACCGCCGTGGCGCTCCCAGTTTGAATGCAATTTACCTCGACGGCACGTCGTGGCCGGTGATGGTCTTGGTGGCGGCTGGAGCAGGTAGCGACGGGGCCGGGGCCGAGCGCCGCTGTGCACACCTTGACTTCTCCGCCCGTCGACGCCAAACCCCCGGAGGCTTGGCACTGCCAAGCAAAAAACGGTATGCCCCCGAATCTCAAGGACGCGGGTGTTGCCGAAATGGTTGCAGGATGTAGAAAAGTGACAAGAATCCATCGCGTTATGATTCCTGATGTTAAGAAGTCGAGACAAGAAAACAGAGGAAAAACTCCCATTCTGCGGTACATTTGACTCGGTTCGTCTCTTGTTGGCTATCGGCCCAATTTATATGATTGCTCTTAACATTTCGGGAATTAGACGATTCCGACGAATAGGATTTCGTGCTGTAATCTGTGCAGGGATGTGCGCCCTTATGGTTCGACAAAAATATGAAAGAGTAGTCTCACTCCCTCTGGCCTTGGCATATATAGTAAAATCGATGACGTTAAAGGTCGGTGCACATTTTGATCCGTCTATTTTGGACGCTATTGTGCTCCGGTTAAAGTAAACAAATCCAAACAAGGTAAAAATAGCGCAGCCTGCGGCCTCTGGTGGTCAGTCCCGTCTTTATTTTGAGCGCGTTTGCAATTTGTGGTCGGGGCGTTTACCCGCACTGCGCCGCGCTCGACGTGTCAACACTCTGTAATGGATTCACTTTAAGCTCGATTTAGCGTGGCCAGCAAGCTCTTCCTCAACCTGTCCGCACGCCCGCCCCTTCCCCCTCCCCCTCCCTTCCAGGCAGGACTGCAGTGGCCTCCACCTTCCAGGTGAGTGGCGCGCCAACTGGAGCGCGGAGATACGCCGCCCAGGTCTCGTGTCTCTCTCGCTCTCCCTTCCACTTCTCCGGCAGGACGGTCCGGCCCGGTCCGCTGGTCCTCCTGGGAGAGTCCTTCGGCACGGCATTGGGAAGTTGGTCCGGGCGGACCCGCCGGGCCCCGCGGTGTCCTTCGGGGGTTTTGGTCTATACGTCACAGCTGCTTTTGTCCTGAACGACCGCGGGTGGTCCGGGCGGCCGCCCCCGGTCCGGAGCCCCCGCCGCCAGCGCCGCTGCGAGTTTGCAGCACTGCAATATAATAATGACAATTAATGACTTTAGTATCCCTCCCCGTGCTCTGTTTTACTGGGAGGGTCGGACTGAACTTTGTAGCGAAGGGCTCTGCGCTGCCCTCTCCTCGGTCGAACGCCTCTCGCCGCCACGGCCAGACGATCGCGCGTGTTTCGCCCCGGGGGAGGATGGTCCCCTGTTGCAGCGCTGTACCCCGCCCCAGCGCGCCCCAGCGCCCCGGACCCCGCACCAACACAGCAACTTGCATGACAGTTGAGTTTGGTCGGAGCCGCCGCCGGGGTTCCACTCGGGGCTCATGTTGTTGACAGCCGCCGCCGCCTCGCTCCCTGACGGCCGCCCGGGCCCCGGCCGCGCCCTCAGAGTCCCCTAAGACCGCCGCGACGGAGCTTGCGGAGACTGGCACGGCGGTGGCCGCGGCAGTGTACGTCGCTCGGTGCGGAATGTGCGCTCGTGGGTCTGCTCCCACCCACCCCCGGGGCAGCGGGGGGTGTCTCGTCCGATGTCGCCACGGGCGACAGCCTGGACACCACTCGGGGCCCGGCCGGCGCAGCAGGGGTAGTAGGGGGCACAGAGATTTACGTCCAGCATCCGGTATTGGACAGAGGGAGAGAGACGGGATGAGCAGCGGGAGGGCCTGGGCCGAAGTGCCCCCGCTCTGCTACAATGTGCGCGCCGTGTGTGTGTGTGTGCGCGTGCGCGCGCGCCGCCGCCCTAGGCCCATCGCACGATTGCCTCCTCAGCCCCGCAATCCCTGCGAGCTCTGATCCGGCGGGCTGACCAGCCCCGCCCATCATCAAGCCCACGACTTTCTACCACCGCGGAGTCCACCACTCACCACCACAAAAAGAAACGTGCCGCAGAGCGGCGGGCGGAGACCGCGCAGCCGACGGATTTAGGCCTACGACGCACGCCGGAGCCATGATTTGCCGCTCAGCCCCGCCCTGTTAGTGTGTGTGTGTGTGTGTGTGCGTGGAGGAGGGGATCTGTGTGTGTTTCCAGCGTATTTCTCCGCAAGACTCATAAAACACCGGGGGTGACGCGAAGGAGCGGCCCAATCCAGCTTAAGAATAGACAAGGACCATCACACCCATAGAGTTACGGTCCTGGACCCCCTCCCGACCCCCCTGGGATAGAGAATGTGGGGGGGGGGGGATAGAGAGAGAGAGAGAGAGAGAAAGTGGCAACATACGGTATTTGGAAGGTTGCTGGGTGAAAAAAACAACAAACAAACAACGTTGCAGCTCGCGCGTGACCTCTTTGTCGATGATGTTGACGCTGGCGAGAGGCGGGGCGGGCGGTTCATACCCTTCCTCCTCGCTATCGGGTGCGGTCGGGGGCGCCGCAACCCGCCCGCCTGACGTTGTGACGGATGAATCTGGCTTGTCAAATTAGCAGTGAGTGGTTTCGTCTGTTAATGGCTTGCTGGGAAGGATAGGCTGCAGTGAGGAGCGCGAACAGCGCGCGCGGCGGGTCAGGCCACTGCTGTGCGCGCCGGATCGGGCCGACGTGCGGGGGAGCTGGGGAAGGAAAAAAGGGGGGAAGGAAAGTGAATTCTTGTGTAGCAGGAAGAGATACGTTGATACATCCTCCCCATTCCCCCCGCCCCCAGGCTCGCCGGACTACCGCGGCGAGGCGTTCCTTCTCCGGCGCCCACAACAACACCACCCCCGCAGACCGACATCCCCACTGCGAAACTGTGTACAGGATCTCTTACCATAACACCGCAGCCCGGCTACAACGGCCGCTACCCATGTCCGCAGGACACGCGCAAAGACATGGGCGCACTGGCTCTCTGCCCTCTTGTAACGGTAGACCTACATCGGGCCAACTAACGTCTCGGTGAAACGTGGAGCCACTACTCTGGAAATACAAAGGTCGTGCGCCGTTGGAGCGGGCACTTTAAACAACTAGCACACTGTTAAAATCCTGCGAAGTATTTTGCTCCTTTGTAACTACGAAGCATTTACTTCGCAATTACAAAGTGATGCTTTGCAATTACGAAGTGACACTTTGCAATTGCAAAGCGATGCTTTGTAGCGTTTTCATTGCTTCGCAATTGCAAAGCATCACTTTGTAATTGCAAAGTAAATGCTTCGTAGTTACAAAGGAGCAAAATACTTCGCAGCTCTGCAAAGCAAATGCTTTGTAGGAATTTAACAGTGCACCCTTTTCAAAGGTGCAAAATGTTTCCAAAATGTTTGCCGGTGTGCCAAATTGATGTGAATCTGAGCAGTTCTGTGCCCTTTGTGCAGGCGCTGAACAGTCTGGAAGACGCGGGTGCGTTGGCGTCATTTTCATACCGATGGGACGTCAGTCAATGACTTTAATTTAGACTGTGGGCGTGGAGCGGAAAACGGCGGCAGTGCCCAAGGGGCCGCCCCGCGGTCCTTGCCTCCTTCCTCCCGTGTGTCGCTGGAATATTTAGGAGACTCTAGAGATCGCTTCTCCAGCCGGGAGGGAGGAAGTCCTCGTCGAGTAGCTCCGGCAACTAAGTACGACCAAAGCCTCGGAGGACGGGGCCCGGCCGGGGCCCAGGGGCGAGTGGCGGTGGTGTGCCATTCAGAGGGAGATTCATTGCGACGTCTGCAAACTTGAACAGTGAGCGATGGCAAACCTCCGGAGACTAACTTTGTATTATTCTTTGTTGCAGGTTGGTCACTGATGTTCATCGCTCTGCGAGGGCTGCGCGGCGACCCGGCCGAGGAGGCCCACGGCCTGCTCTGTGTTGCGGCGGTGGGGGTAAGCCGACCAATGAAAAATGTACATCTCGGAGGAGATGTCCCCGGGCCAGATGCGCCTCTCTGCGTTTATACCGTCGGCAGACTTTCCCTACTCCTCCGCCGGGGATCGCCTCCTCCCAAGAAATCCCTCTGCCCCTTTCTCCTAGTAAAGAGAGGGGCGTGCCTGTTGCCTGGAACTTTGCTTGTGCCGGAGCTGCAACGGCGAAGTGCTGGTCCGTTCGCGGAAGAAAACAAACCAGCCCACGGCATTGCCTACCCATGAGGAGGGGAGGGAAGGCAATGACGTAATATCGTAGATGCTGTGAGCCGGGCTTCTCTCTCTCTCTCTCTCTCTCTCTCTCTCTCTCTCTCTCTCTCTCTCTCGCTTTTGCTCTCTGACCCAAACGGAATTATTAACGCGCGTCGAAGAACGATCGTGCGGTACCCGCCCCCGCGCCCCGCGCATGTGTGCCGTACCTCTGGGCAGCGAGACGGACGCTGCGCGCCGGCCGGGAGTGGGAGAGAGACGAACAAGCAATTTTGGTGCGGCGCCGGGCGCGTGTGTTGCACGTTTATGCACAAACATCCCGCATGGGACGAATTATTGATGCATCGGCAGGATTAATCGGTTTCGAGGGAGCTTTGGGGCCCGCTCTGCCGCTGCTGGTGTGTGGGCGGTGTGGGTGTGGCGGGGAGAGGGGTTAAAAGGGTCCAATAGGAGGCCTATACCGCCCTTGCATAAGTATGAAGGGGTGGAAAACTTTCTCTGAATAGATAAAAAAACACCCTAAAAAACCAAACACTTCTAATCCCGCAAATTATTATGCAATTATTTGTCCATGTAAAACCTTCAGCTCACGACTACTCACCCCAAACAATTTACCATTATTACTTTTTACTATTGCTCACATAATATATGAGCGACCAAATGGCTCGGGTGTATTACCAACGGTTTCATCATAAGCTTATGCCTTGACCTGGGAGGCCCGCAGCAGGAGAGAGGGGAATGTTGCCGACGGGAAGAGACAGTCGCTGATGGCCTATGGGACAGTCGTGCCGCGATGTGTGCATTATTTACATGATGAGAGTGGAGAGAGCGAGAG